AGAGGGAATGTCGATTATTTTAGTATGGATCCTCAACCATACGTGAAATATTTTAAGAGGGAGTGGACAGGGAGGGGGAGGGGACGCAACATACCATAGGAAGCCAATATTATTTATCTTCCTTTAAATAATCACATGTAAAAAACTGCAGACAAAAGTTTAATATACATGTTATTTATGACAGTCCCCTCCATGCATTTTTGCCTCTGACTTTGAGGGTCACTAGGAAGAAGGACAAGAACTGTTCATATTCAAGTTGGAGGAAATTATTCCATCTGCGCTCTATGGAGGGAGAGATCAAGTTCCTGCACTTTCTGATGCAGAAGTCACTTTGGGTTCCCCCACCACAGCTGAGTTTGGGTTCCCCCAAAGGATTGTTTATTTAAGATGGAGCACTCTGGATGCCAGACCTCAGTTGGTCTGAGCCCCATTACTCTCTGTGATTTCACTCTAGGTATTGTGAATACTTTTGTAATTTATGAATTACAAATTTGATGTATTTTAACACTTTGGCAAAACCCAGGAAAATAATATTCCTATTTTCATTTTCTGGCCTCCTCCTGAGCCTATTACTTGCTTCCTACTAAGAGAAAGAGAAAAAAAAGATTAAATTGTAATAGGTGTCTTGATAAGAGCATTAGACAAACAGTTCTACAGCTGACACAAAACTCCATGCAGATATTTCAGTACAGTTGTTAACTGTTTATTTATGCTTATATACACCCATTCTTGTAAATATTGGTTCTTGAATCAGAATTAAATAGAACTATTTTCTTATTAGTGACACTAGGCTCAAATTATAATCATTACTAGTACTATCTTTAAAAATACAGTTTTAAACCTATAGATTTTGCATTTCCATTACAATACTTTAATCTATGACCTTTGTCCTTTTATTACGATACTATTGAAATTAGGTTGTTGGAATGATGATGTGGCTACTAATTTATTCATTGCTTTTTCTTTTCCTTTTTTTTTAACCTAAGGGTAGTAGAAAGGTCTGAAAATTATTTTAAATCAGATTTTTTTTTTATCTGTGATAACGCTTTCCTCCTGAATACAGGGTTTTGTTGAGTCTGGCAAAGGCTGTTATTTTGTCCTCAGATTAATACCCAGACATAGAAAATGAGAGGCTGGATCTTATAAACATGGTTAGAGCCAGTAATCAAAGGTATGACTTAACATAGGCATAACATGTTCCTAAGAACTGTTTTAAAGCAAATATAGTTAAAATTTAGATGTATATACATATACATACACACACACACACATACACACATATATATATATTTATATGTATATATAAGAAATGCTGTTTAGTTAGTACGAATGCTTCCATTCCTACAAGGCCTCCAGCGGTTTCTCAGTACAAGAAGAAACACAAATGAATGACATTTTCACTTTCTATTTCATATCAGCACACAAAGCTAAATTACCTAGTCCCATTTCTCATTTCAGACAGAAGTAAATCTGGTATAATTCCAGCACAGGCAATGACACTGCCTACATCACTGGGGTAAATCTATGAAATCATGCCTCTGCTACTTACATTTGTAATGTGTGGGGACAGGGACAAAACAGAACCTGCCTGTCTCCTTGTGTACACACAAGAGCCACGGTCCTTCCCCAGCATTTCCTAACACACAATTTTTCTCCACCTTTACAATTTTGCATATCAAATACTATTCTAGTGCCAGTGCCACGAAACAGACATAGTCATCCTAATCACCTGTTTCCGTGTTAAAATCTGAATGGATAAATTTCCAGTGCACCAAGACTAAGCCTCGTGTGTGTAACTCACACAACTAACAACATGCCTTCTTTAGAGGCACTTGAGAGAATTTTACTTTGTCCATTTTAGCTTTATTTAACAACAGTCATACACCATTCACATTAGCTCAGATTACGCATTTAATTTCCTTAAGTGCTACTCTTAAAACATCGCCATGCTTAATGTTGACGTCTAAATGGTACCATTTACGCTTTGCTGTGAACACCTCATTAAAGCAAATGGAGCAGGTAAGGAGGTAAAGCACCTGCCTTTGTTGAGGCAAATGGAGAATTGTGTGCCTTTGTTTCACTGGGAACAGTTGAGCGTGATTTTCAGCCCGTGTAAACTGATGTGGCTCCATAGATTTCATCAGAACTCCTGTGATTCATATCAGTTACACATAAGGCAGGGTTTCCTGCGAGCCTCGGATAACATAGTATTCCCTATGTCTGTAAGGTCACTTAAGAGATGCCTCCAGAGAACTGATTGTTCATACATTGGATATGGAGGTATTCTTAAAAAAAGACTACTCATTTGTCACCATTCCAGTGGGGAAAAAAAATCCTTTTTTTTTCCTTTCCTCATCTGAATATCAAATTTTTGTATATTTATTGCAGTGAGAAAACAGTGCTTTTTCCAATTACAAACAAAAAGAAAAATAAAGAGGGAGGAAGAGAGATAGTTTTCCTGACAGGCCAAAATTTCTCTTTGAATACATTCAAGTGCAGAATATTTTGGAGCACTGAAAGTGTAAAAAAGCAAGAAAATTATTCAAGTAATTTTTACCATGTTATTGCCTTCTGTGAACATGGGTAAATATACCACAATTACAGATTTTTGCATGTATTTTTAAGTATTGTGGGATTGTGGGAGACCAAAAAAAAAAAAAAAAAAAAACCAAGACCAGGATTTGCTAAAGTAAATAGATCAAGAGATATTGCTAAACCAGCCAAAACTTGGCTTCCTCCGCTGTAGCATCTGCAGCAGAATCAATGGATTACATAGAAGATTTTGTCCCTTTCTACTGCAACAAACTGTGACAGTGACAGATTAGACAGACTATTTTATCTTAAACATGATTTAGACATAGAGCTGTTGTCAGGATCTTGCATCACTTCCTAAGCTCTACATGAGTGTCCCACCACCCCATAAATTGCCTTCCTGAGCTCCCACACCACCATGTGACCCCTTTACCAACAGAGAATAAAGTGGAACACCATTAATGTTTGAAAGATCCTTTGAAAAATTGGGATATAAACTACCATATAAATGCAAAATATTTTTTATTATTATTATTATTATTTCCTTTATGTCAATGTGAGCCATAGTAGTGTTTTTTTCCAATTTGTTGCTTAAAAGAGAAAGAAAAATTAGCTGCTGCTCTGCTTTCAAAGCCAGTAGAGGCCATTGAGGAATTTGCAGCATTCTGTTTCAGATATTTCTTAACCCCTTTTGTCTCAAAAATACAGAATCAGGGTTAAACAAGGTCAATACCGTGTTTCTACTTGTTCTGAGTCTTGGAAACAAGGAGCTAATGCAGGCTGCAACAGCCATTGCTTTAACTGACAGCATATGTTTTTTGTGAGATGAACAGTTCAAGCCAACTGACTATACAGGAACACTAATAACAAAGTATGGGCTATATTAACTTCAAAAAGCTTACATTAATGCAATGTGAAATTGTACATTTTGTGAGGCTTTCAAGTCCATCTTTTCCAAGTAATTTGTGCACAAAAAGTCTTAGAAACTTTTCTGACACAAATAAATAAACAAATGCCTACTCCAATTTGTTCCTCTAATCTATTATCTAAATGAATTATCTTCAGGATTTTTTTCCCTCCAAGTCAAGAGCAGAGAAGGCTTAAATAAGTGAAACTAAATTCTATTAACACTGTTTTGCAACTTTATTGATAGCACCAGTTCTACTCAAGCTACCTCCAGCCACTGGGCAGCACAAACGTGGAGAGTTCCCATCTCCTTGCCTGGAGCCCAGTGGTCAGTGAAGCTGAGTTTCCACAGCAACGCCCAGTTTTGTTTCCCAGGCAACCAGGATCCTCAAAATCGGGTGGCAATTGGTGAGCAGAGTAGTTTGGGGACAGTATAATCCATTTTCCCACTTCACCAAAGTAGGACCTGTGCTGGTGGCTGGCCCAGGTGGGATGGAAGGGAAGAAGGAGCTGCAGCCTGACTACAGGATGCAGCTGCTTCTCCTGGCTCACATCTACATCCAGCTTCTTCAACCTCCCACCTCTGGCCAGCAGAATGTCCAAAAAAGTAACATTGTGCATTTTTATTTACAGTTATTTTCTTCTGTTGCTAATTTCAGAGCTACCACTCCTATACTCTTGTCTATTTTTAATACTGCCTCACACATATTTTGTGCCAGCTTCTGGTGACCCTATGCTTTATTAAATGATGCATTAACAGGAGATGACCAAACCTTTGTTTCATTCAGTTCTCAGTGAACAACATGCCACTGCAGGCAACGAAAGGATTGCTCAAGTCACAAAATTCAGATTCTAATTAATTTTATCACAAAAAAACTGTGATTTAGGAGGAGGGGCACAATAAGCTCATCCCTGATATTTAGACAGATATGGACACAGAGTCTTTTATGAATTCTTTAATCCAGTCCCTTTTGTTACTGGTGTTGACCCTGATAGTTTTATCAATACCTGGCTTACTGTCATATGAGGGTATTAGGAAAGGGGAACAAAGCAGGGCAAACATTTTCTAGGCAGAAATTCACTTCTCTGTGTATTATGACCCTTATTTTCAGATTTGGGAAAATGATCATCTGAATGTTGTCACTTTCTAGGCTTTCTTGAGCTGACTTGCAAGGCTTTAAAGAAGTTTTATTACTTCAAAAAGCATATTGACAGCTGGTCTTGTCCCTCCAGATGACAGGAATTCAAATAGGCCAAGAATGACCTATCTGGGGATGAAAGCTGATATTTCCAGCAGTTTTCAACAGTGTTTTTTCATGGCATGGAGAAACAACTCCAAAGAAGACATACAGCAAAAATATATGAGATGAACCTGCATCTTCAGGTGTTCATCAGTGCCATCAGGCAAGATTCAAATACTACAGACTCTTGACATGGTCACAAAAAAAAAAAAAAAGAAATCCCCAAACTAGTACTAGGCAAAGAGGTTAACCTTAGCTTCTTCAGACGTGAGAAACCATCCTGGTTTTCCAAGTTATCTGGGCCTCAATACACCACTGTACCTTGCAAGGCCAACATAGGCAGTACTTCCTCTTCCTTCAGAGGCTGTGAGAGGAGGTGCAGTCCCACCAGGTCCATTTCTCTTTGCCAGTTGAAGCTAAGGAAAGAAAAGAACTGAGGTCATGTCAGTGAAGATTTGCTCTTTTTTTTTATTCTACAGGCACAAGAGACAGAGAAATAGAGGTTTTAATGCTATGCTCACATGTGCTAGGTGCTTCATGCTGCCAGAAATTAGTGAATCTTGTGGTGTGACTGCTCACTACCATGTAGACCTGGAAACACAGCATCCTAAGTCATGCATAGTTTTAATCTTCTCCTTCTATAAATGTCATTAGGAAGGTCAAAATTAGACATATTCTGTTATTGGGAACTCTGAGACCGATATCCTCTGTGTCCTTTTTAATGATATGACATAACAGCTAAAAAAATATAAACATCATCTCTTTGGTCTGTGTTTTAAAAGGCTAATTTTAGTGACTTTTAAGAATTGAACAAGCGCTGTTAATCTGTGTTCAGTCTCTCCCACTGCTGCAGAAAGAATTTTGTCTAATGCTTACCATACTCGACTCAAAATGTAAGAGGAAAAAAAAATCCTCTTCTATCAGAACATTGTTCTAGTCTACACTAAATTTAATTATCTTAAGCAAACTTCCAAACGATGAAGAAAAAACTCAGTTAAAATTTGTGAAATGCGTGTCTGAAAATTAACTATCAAGACAGGTCATGTATGTATTAAATAACTTTACAGCTCATCTTTTAAACAATCATAGATTTATACAAATATGACCAAAAAGAGAATGATTATTGCCACTATTCTGACTGTCACTCTGTACTACCCCTCCCTTGTACTTCAAGAGTCCCTGCCACTGCAACTCTTGAGCAACTGAAAAGCTCTTACAAGTGTGGTGTACTCCTTCCTCCCTTCCTCTTCTCTTTCTCCCTTCTTTCGTGGTGCGTGTGTATTGGCCAAAGTGTTGAAGGAGGCTCTAGAATATCATATGTGAAATCTAAAAGGTTAAACTTTTGACATTGCAAGGTTCCAACACTGGGAGTGCAAGGGTCTTCATGGTGTGTCTGGAGGTTTGGGGAGCATGAAGTGGTTCTGTATATTTGGGGTCAAAGTCTGTCTTAACATGACAGACCTAACATCTGTCTCAACATCATAAGTTACCATGCTGGCTTCTCCAGTACTTTATGACTATCAAAAAAATCAAGACTTGCACTTTTTTTTACTTGAAAAAAGAACAAAACAAGATGAAACAAAAGAAAAAAAAAAAACAAAAACAAAATAACAACAACAACGAAATGGGAAATGGGGGAAAAAAGAAAGAAAATCCAACATTTGTGACAAGAACACGGTTGTTTCTCTGAAACAGCTGTCTGATTCTATGTCCCCTCAATGATTCAGACATCTGGGTCAGAGGAAATATATGTCAGAATGACATTGGTCTGTTCACATATAAAATGCTCATTTTGGTTGTAATCACTCTCCTGGATTTCTAGCAAACCCTATTTAAACTGACCTGTTAGCATGGACAGAGGCTACCTGTGCTTACTGAAGGGGCTGAGCTTTGTGAATGGCCTTCCTCAACTCTACACCATTCAGCATGTATTCCCGTTATAAGTATGAAACTCAAATTAGGCAGCACTGTAGAGTGGGGGAGTGCTGCTGTTCCTACATTGTTTTATCAAACAGGCAGCAAGCGCTATTAAATTCCCAGAGCAAAACTAGTGCACAAACAGAATTCACAAGAAGGCCTGAAGTCTAGAGGATGAAGCTGCAGGAGACAAATGTATTACAGTGTCTAGGCAGCACAGGAAGATATTACACTGTGATCCCTTCTGAACCTTGTCCACTGCCTTTAGATAGGTCCTCTGCACAGCTCAATACTGACATTATATGCTCTAGAAGTCTAAGATAACTGAAAATCTCCCATGAACTAGTAGTGCCTCTGCCCAGGAGTGAGTCTGGAATCACAGCAGAGTTTGCAGAGAGGAAACTGAAAAAAACTATTTGTTGCTTTGCAGATGCTGGTTGAGAAGTCTGGCCATTCTTTGGACAACAGCAGAACTGTGAGTTAAGCTCATTTCTTAAGAATATTTAATCATAAATCTCTACCATATCATATAGCCTACTTTAAAAATTTACGTTTTTTGAGAATGAAAGGCTTAAAAACGCAGTGCCTACTAGCCCAGCACAGGTAATACTGTGAGATACTCCTAGACAGCAGTGATCTTACTGCTTTCTGTGTGATGGTGGCAAAGCAAACAAAGCAAACAAAAAGAAATCAAAGTTTTGTGAGAAGGGTTAAAGAATTATTTATCTCATTTACTACTGCTGCTCCATTAAACGTTTGAGAAACAAGATCTGCATTGCTGCAATGACTCTTGAACCTTCCTGTTTATCCTTTCCTCCGTTCCCTCAAAGTGCTTTGACCAGCTCTAAACCAAACAGGCAGTCACCTTCACTTCTATCTCAGCAAGGTCAAAGTCATTGAATGTGCCTTAAAGATAAAAGGAAAGTCAGCCAAAGGAGCTAAAAGCAGCATCCATTGCAGCAATGAGGACTTTGCCCTCTACTATTGGGATTGTCTGAAGCAGCTTCACAAATGTGTGTGTGAATCAGACTTTTGTCATCAGGATTGCAGTTTTTGCTGTGGCATAGTAAAACATCCATGTTGCTTTTCAAAGGGACAGCACAGGTGCTTTGCAACACGATCTTGGCTCAAATTTAAAAGACAGATTCATGTAACACTAAAAATAGAGAGAAAATATATCATCTTAGGTCTAATCTAGCTGTGCTTAATAGTCTCCCTTATTGTCCTTGCCAAAAGTGCCTGTTACTCTGATGGCTTTATATTGCTGAGCTAAAGTTTGCACTTGTAGTACTTAACTCAATTATTTTGTTTCACTTTTCTTAAAGCTCATCTTGCTTGCTTTCCCTGACCTTTGTTGCAGGTCAGGTGCCATGCAGCAGTTCCAGATAAACCCTGTGCTTCTGAGATAGCTTGGGTTCTTCCATGTTGCCTTCCCCTAGTCTGCCAGCAGTTGGTCCAACTTCCTCATACTCTTCCTCACTGTTCTTGACATCGGACCAAGTTGCTGCATTCAAAGGAAAAAGAGCTACATTCTGCTGCCCTGTTCAGTTCAAAGTTACCATGGTGGCCCTGAGTCTTTCACTTCCAGTCCTTTTGTTCTTTTCCAGCATTGTGCCTAAGGCCTGGTGATGAATGCTTGCAGATCTAGTGATTTACATCTTAGCACACTGTCAGGTCAAATCACCGGCAATATCCTTTCAAAGGGAGTTTACAGTTCAAGGGCTGCCTTTGGATCAGGCTTTGCATGAGTCAAATGAAAAATTCATATGCAAGTGTTTGGTACTGTAGTGACAAGGTGCTATTGCTGCCTGCATTTAGTGACCTTTCTTACAAGTGTGAAGGACTTGCTGCCAGAGACAGAACCACCCTGTGAAATACCACAAACATGGCATTGTCTCTGAGCTGAACTTCTGGGGACTTACCTGGCAGAGCAGCCCTTATACAAGCCCTATTAAAGTTGTGGTGCCACCTTTCTTTGTGATCAATCCTGCATGACAATCCTGAGATCCCTCACTGGGATGCCAGCTTGTGCCTGACCAATCTTGTCCCCAGACCAGCCCCAGAACCAAGGCATGATTTAGACAGAAAAGAAGGTCTGAAGGACACCCAGTTGGATCTGACTGAAGCAGGTTTAATCAGGTTAGCTTGCTCATGGTCTTTTCTAGCTGAGTTTTAATGTTCACAAGGATAGCAATTCCTGGACATTCTGCTGAGACTTATAACTGCTTATTTCCACTGTAATGGTGAAAAGCACATGAAACCCACCCTCATATCTAACTGGACTTCACATGTTCCAGTGTTTGCTGCCTGCTGTGCTACACTGCACACCTTCTGAGAAAGGCTGGTTACGTCTTGCCTACATTTTCCCATGTGCAGTTCTAGACAGTTCAATACCCCTCCCAAGTCTTTTCACCTGAACAAACCAGTTCTGAACAACTGAACAAACCCAGTTCTCTCAGCATCTCCTCATACATGATGTGCTCCAGCCCACACAGCCCCTTAGTGGCCTTCACTGCCCTCAGTCCAACATCTGAGCCCTCTCCATCTGCTCCTGACTCTTCAGAGCACCAAACCTCCAAAAATCTTATAAGATCATTTAGTTGAACTCCTTTTCACAATTTCTGGGGGATTAGAAGAATCTGTTTCTGATCTGCCACAGCATTCCAGTGTAGATTTTTTTGCAGCAGTTAATCAGCATGTTTCTGACAGAAAGGGTGGGAAGCAACATAGGAAAATAAAGACCAAGACAAGTTTTAATTACAAATGTGAAATACTGTCTAAACATTTCAGAGAAAACACAATTCAGACTCTTTTGTCATGCAGTAGAGAAAGATAGGAAGAGGTAGTCTCATTATTTCTTTTGGTCCTTTTTACACAATTTCACATACTAACAGCAGTGATATAATTACTGCTTGGTAACTTTAAATTCCTATAATGGAATCTGATTGGTGGCAGCACCTTGGAAATCATTACAGAATTCTGAAATTCATTAAGGAGTTAAAAACAATCTTATTACTAAGAACAGAATAGGTTCAAACTCTGTAACTAGTATGTAATTCTTCTGAAAAGCATATTAATTACTGCCTAAGATTATTTTAATTTATATTTTTTGTGCTAGACAGATACTTGAGTAATAGAATCTTGACTGAGCAACTGAATAATCAAAAATCCTTAATACCAGTGTGCGCTGGATCCATTTGGATCATCGAGCTGCCAAAAAATAAAAAATCATTGGTTTTTTTTAGCTATTTTTCTGATACTGTTTAGTGGATGCTTATGGGGAAGCAACAGCCCTTTGCAGTTCCTGGGGATTAAACGCAGGTATTTTAATGTGACCTTTTTAGGTGTTGAAAAAAATGTTTTCAGTAGTCTCACTCCAGTGGATTTAATAGAATAACTACAACAAGGAATCTTCCCCTTTGTTTTGAAAGGGGAAATTCTTTGGGGATTTGCTTCTTTCCTCTTTTCCCTTTGATTAGTAAATCAGCAAAGGGC